GCGGCGCGGTGATAGAGCGATCGCTAGTATTTAATCTGTTATCTCCCCCTTTTAATTATTGAACTTAGTATTTTAAAATTTTAATGACTAACGTAACGTCCTAATTACTAATTAGCTTATAAAGATAGATATTCTGGCATTCTCGGTCACGAATTTTATCTGAAAATTGAAAGAGGATCAAAATTTAGTTACAAGATTTATAACAATCTCGACCCCCCCCCCCCCCCCCAAAAAAAAAAAAAAAGACTTATGATCCAAATAAAATAAACAAGCCCCAGCTATTAAATATGGAGAATAAGAAGAATAAAACTTGCCATTCAGCTGTTTAAAAAACATTCATCTTTAATTTCATTTTGATCATATCCTTGTTTCATCTACATGAAACTAAAGTGGGGACATTAGCATAGGCCTAATTCAGAATACAATTTGCATTGTACTAACATAATGTTACTCACAAATGGTTGCCTTCCGTACATATATACAGTAATACATATACATGAAGATATATATACATATATATATATATATATAAATATATATATATATATATATTATATATATATATATATATATATATATATATATATATATATATTATATATATATATATATATATATATAATTCTCTTCATGGAGACCACAGAAAACACCAAGCGCCTAGCAGCCCCCCTCTCTTCCTCTCTAGGCATACCCCTACCATCCCAACCCCCACATGCTCTGGTGAGCTGTGGTTCACGCTAAATGTTTACAATCGTAGATCCGGGTTTAGTGACGGCTATTCGCGGCAGATAATTTAGTTTTGAAACGATTTAAACTTAGGGGAGGTAACTAAGAGGAATTTGCTTTCAAGAGAGGGGGCAGGGGGTGTAGGGTAGGGGTTGGGGGAAAGGAGGGGGGATATCGTCCTTAACGACCTACTGATAGTGTTTTAAAACAAATATTTTCAGTGGCAGCATTGGTACTGTCGAATTCACAAATTATGCATTACTGAAAAATAGAAAATAAAACAACTAAAATAGCGGCATATGATACGCCGCGGGTCGGCTTGTATATATATATATATATATATATATATATATATATATATATATATATATTATATATATATATATATATATATATATACATATATATATATATATATATATATATATATATACATATATATATATATATATATATATATATATATACATATATACATATATATATATATATATATATATATATATATATATATATATATATATATATATATATATAAAAGTATATCTGTCGATCGAAATTCTGATATATACAGCAGCTGGTTGATGGCAACAGTTAATGAGTACGTGATCGTTACAAATGTTTTATTGTTCATCTATCCTGGTGAAGACCGTCACACATCAGTGGCTCTTCACACATTGTACTCACACATCAGTGGCGCTTCACACATTGTACTCACACATCAGTGGCGCTTCACACATTAAACGCACACATCAGTGGCGCTTCACACATTGTACTCACATATCAGTGGCGCTTCACACATTGTACTCACACATCAGTGGTGCTTCACACATTGTACTCACACATCAGTGGCGCTTCACACATTGTACTCACACATCAGTGGTGCTTCACTCATTGTACTCACGCATCAGTGGCGCTTCACACATTGTACTCACACATCACTGGCGCTTCACACATTGTACTCACACATCACTGGCGCTTTACACATTGTACTCACACATCAGTGGCGCTTCACACATTGTACTCCACACATCAGTACGTCAGTATACCGTCCATGCGTCCAACCCAGCTCTGATGGGTAACTTCCTCATGTTAGGAAAAGTAAAGGCGGCTGGGCCAAAGTGCTGACCAACACTTTTATCCGTATGTCCATGTCTCAACGCCCCCCCCCCCCCCCCACGATCACTTACTTAATCCTTATCACTCCCTGTGGAGTATAGGACAGCAGCAAATCTCCGCCATTCCACTCTTTCTTTGGGCGAGCCACTTTAGTTCATGCCAGGTCTTGCCAGTAGCCTGCACTTCTTCTTCCATCTCTCTCCTCCATGTTCCCAGTGGTCTTCCTCTCTTTCTCTTTCCGGGTGGGTTCCACTTCAGCGCCCATGTTGGGGAGCTCTTCTTTTGCTCATGCGTAGGACATGGCCCAGCCATCCTCCATCTCCTCATTCGAACTTCTGAAACAATGTTGTTTTAAACCTGTCCTTGCTCGGGGACTTTGTCGTCCCACTTTATCCTGAGGATACTTTGGAGGGTTCTTCTTTCAAAACCCATGATCACAGAACGAAATAAAAATATAATTTTTATAGATATGATGGGAATTTAAAGTGCGTGAAAGTTTTCTCTATCCTCGATTCTTTGATTCACCGATACTCTCATCCACCAAGACCATATCACACTATTTTCTCCTAACCCCCTCTCCATAGATCTTCCCCAAACGCTACTTTATATCTGTATTTCAACCTGCTGAGCCCTAGTTAAAGTGTGTCATATTCACACTAATCCCCTTCATTATACGATATCTCACTTGAAACAGTCCTATGTAGATTCCCTACAGCTGAGGGGTAGCGCTAGTACCAGCTGTAAACACGATCAGTGTGTGTGAGTAATAAAATTAGCAGCTCACGTCTAATTATGTGACCTTGTCAACAACATCTGTCATTAGTCAGCTCTAATTAAAATGTGTTTTTTCTCTGGTGGTCTAATCAGCCATCAAGATATTTCCATCTACATTTTGTGTTAATGAGTTAATTACTCGTTATGTTGTATGTATAATCAAATAGTGTCTGCCCGTCGAAGTGGAGTTTATTTACTTAATTAGGCATTGTAATTTTTTTATAATCAAGATGTAACAAGCAATTTTAATTTGATCTAGAACAGGGGTCTCCAAACTACGCCCGCGGGCCGTATGCGGCCCGCAAGGTCCTCTCATCCGGCCCGCGGAGATCTTTTTGTCCAAGGAAAAAAATCGTTTGTTGGTGTTGGCTGAGGAGCTTTGCCCAGAAAAATCAAAGACATGTCTGGAAGAAAACTGGCCCCCGAACTGAAATTTGACAGGTAATACGGCCCTAGGACTGAAAAAGTTTGGAGACCCCTGATCTAGAACGATACGACCCGTATACATTATTTTACAATTCCTAAAAGTTTTGTAATATTGAATTGCGATAGCCGTTCCTGGGGGTTAGGTGAAGGTCCTTAATATGAGTGTAGATGGTCTATGGCAGGGGTCTCCAAACTTTTCAGTCCGAGGGCCGGAATTAACTATCAAATTTCAGTTCGGGGGCCAATTTCTTCCAGGCATGTCTTTGATTTTTCTGGGCAAAGTTCCTCAACCATCACTAACAAACGATTTTTCCTTGGACTAAAAGATCACCTCCGGCCGGATGAGAGGACTTCGCGGGCCGCATCCGGCCCGCGAGCCGTAGTTTGGAGACCCCTGGTCTATGGGAACGATATATAGTGTTGTATGAGGCAGTGGCGTAGCTAGAATTTGCGGGGCCCCTATGCAAAATGTATCAATGGCCCCCTTCGTCAGCTGTTAGGCTACAGTGGAGGTTTAACGTAGAAATCAACTGTTACTTACGATGGGATATTTTTGAATAACTTTTAACAATTTTCTTTTGAAAATTATTTATATCAAACAAATATTAAAATTCCAAAGTAAAAAATTTATTTTATTTTTAAGATGGAAAAAGGCCCCTATGTGCCTTGGGCCCCCATGCCTTGCTTACCCTAGCTTTACTGTAGCTACGCCACTGGCATGAGGTGGTTCCAAAGTCTCTAATTGTGCGATATAAATACAATATATGCATGATCTGTAGGGGGGGGGGGGTGACACCACGAAGTGCCGCACAGGGTAACACCCGACTGAGGCCTGGACCTAGCGATCCATTGGGCAGATGAAGTAGAGTTCACATGTTTCTTGACCTCGGCATGTGAAAGAATGGTGTGATCAGCACTATGCCCAGCCCAGACTTTCCTCAACGTAAGTAAAGTACCCATCACAGCTGAGTGGACTCAGGGACGTCCTACAGTCACAAGTCCGAACCGAGATCCGAACTCCAGGCCTTCGAGCTAGCAGTCCAACGCTCTACAATTCAACCAGGCACATTGCTGTCAACTTAAACAACTTTGGCTTGATTTTTAAAAAATGTATACATTAATAGTGTGATACCAAAAAAAACTGTATATAACTATATCTAAATTTTTGGGAGAGGTATGGACGCTGAATTGATAGTTGTCAGTGTTTCTTCCAGACTTTTTTCTCCGGTGGGGGCACTTGATATTTTCGGGGGGGGGGGGGGGGGGGGGGGGGGGGGGGCGTCAACATTTTCCGGGGGGGGGGGGGGGGCGGACACTAGTAAATGTTATATGTTTACTATATAAAATTCCATCTCGTTCGGGGGGCGGTAGACTTTCTTCGGGGGGGGGGGGGGGGGGGGCAGAGCCTGAAGAGATGCCTGGAAGAAACTCTGATAGTTGTCCCTGGTAGGGTCGCCATGCCTCTTGTCTTTTTTTAAGGTTCTTATAGTATACTTTACCAGAAGATTACTAACGAAAGCAGTCGAAATAGAAGCATCCGCTAACCTATTGTAAACAAACAAACAACATATTCCAGATCACGTGACTCAGATGAAAGCTAAACGGCCGATTTTGAGGGAATTGGCCTACATATTGAGTACAGGTAAATACAAACACACCAAGGGGGCGTCACTGCTTACAACAATCCGGCTTTATTTGTTTTCCTCTGTAAAAAATAAATCAAACAAGTTTAATTTCTATTTGGCAGACATGTTATTAAAAATCTACACATAAACGGGGCTGCTTTGTTTAAATACCCATACAACACAGCTTTTTTAAAAATTTGGGAAAAAAAAATTAATGAAAAGTACTTTTTTTTTTCGTGACAGTTACGCCCCTTGAAGTTTGGCACGAGCTACGGGTGCGCGTGCTGGTTAAAAAGTTGATTGCACATCTTCGATGACGTAAGAGCAAGGGGAAGCTACCTAACACAAGCACAGCCGTGTTGCGAATAGTTATTGAGGAGAACAACGGAATGTATTTGAAATGCATTGCGAGTATTCGATGACTGAGTGAGGGCTTGCAAATGTGGGTAGGCTGTTCGATATGATGACGTCACGGATATGCCCGGACCAAGGCAATACAGCTCAGGTAAAAAAAATTATTCTAATTAACGGAATATAAAGAGTTTATTGAATTGTATTGTAAACACCATTTCAAGAATAGTAAAGCAAATTTTAAATGAGAATAAACATGCACAATACTTAAGCATCAGCCAACTAGAGTTACGTTTATGAGTTTAAATTAATTAAGTTAGATCTTGATTAATCGCCATGGCTTAGATTAAGTCCCCTGCTTTGCGCTGTCGAAATATAACAATAGTTAAATATTTATAAAAATAATTCTACTTAACTGATTGTCCTCACCTACCCCTCCCCCTCAACTATCTGAAAGTTTCGTTACTCTGTCATTTTTCTTTTAAATCTAAAACATCTCCTTGTAAAACTTGCCAAAAATAGGTTGAACATACGTGTGTACAGTGGTCGACTCGTTAGGTACTCTTTCAGACCAGATAGAGTAGAGTTCATCTATTTCTCTGGCGTGATGTGAAGGTAGATTGTGGCCAGCACGTGAAATACAACATACATCACCTTAACTACACTTAAACTGCACTAGAGATGCAGCAAAACAATACCTATTGCGTGAAAATTGTTTAAGCAGCACTGTTTCAAACTGGTCTAAACAAAAGGTCAGTGGCGGACAAAGGGGTGAGCTGAGCTGGCAACAGCTAGTGGCTCCCTAATGTTAGGGGCCCAATTATCTAATTTACACACGGCAACACACTTTAGATCAATTGGAATTGACATGGACGTCAAAGTAAAGACGAATCACATGAAATTAAGTATAGATAAAATCACATGAAATTAAGTATAGACAAATCGCATGAAATTAAGTATAGACAAATCACATGAAATTACGGATAGACAAATCACATGAAATTAAGTTTAGACAAATCACATGAAATTAAGTTTTAGACAAATCACATGAAATTAAGTATAGACAAATCACATGAAATTAAGGATAGACAAATCACATGAAATTAAGTATAGACAAATCACATGAAATTAAGTATAGACAAATCACATGAAATTAAGTATAGAAAAATCACATGAAATTAAGTTGAGACAAATCACATGAAATTAACTAAAGACAAATCACATGAAATTAACTAAAGACAAATCACATGAAATTAAGTTTAGACAAATCACATGAAATTAAATATAGACAAATCACAAGAAATTAAGGATAGACAAATCACATGAAATTAAGTATAGACAAATCACATAAAATTAAGTTTAGACAAATCACATGAAATTAAGTATAGACAAATCACATGAAAGTTGAGGATAGACAAATCACATTAAATTAAGTATAGACAAATCACATGCAATTAAACGAAATAAAATCAAAGGACAGTTAAATATTTAAGCATTTTAAGACATACCTTGTCGACAAATTTTTCCATCGCAATCAACATCCTATATTCTTCCCTATTGTACAGCTGCCCTAGATTTTGAGAACGTTAGTGTTGGGTTTTTTTAATGGGATAAACCTGGCGTTCGGTAATTCTTGAATTCGAGTAAGATGCATTAAGTTGTCTTAAGATTTATAGTCAAATTTTAATTAAAGTGTGATCTAAATCAATGAGTGTAGAATCTCCCTATCCTACCAGAGGCGTAGCGAAGTTGGGGGGGGGGGGGGCAGGGGGTGCATATGTCCCCGGGCGCCGACCTTAGGGGGCGCCAAAATGGGTTGGAAAAACAAATTAAAATCTCATTTTAGCTGCATTTTAGCTTTATATATATATAAAAATATATGGCGGGGGGTGCAAATCGAAAGTTCGAGGGGGGGGGGGGGTGCAAATCGAAAGTTTGAGGGGAAGGGGGTGCAAATCGAAAATTGAAAGGTTGATCCCGAGGGGGGCGCCAAATTGAAAGTTTGTCCCCGGGCGCCGGGAAGGATCGCTACGCCTCTGTATCCTACCACAATAGACTGTCCATTACTGACTAGATTTAAGTTGATTTTAGAAAGATAACGCTGGGAGGGGGGGGTGGGGGTTAGTTGAACCGGGGTGTTGCGGGTAATTTAGAGGTAAGGTTAGAATAGTCTAGAAAACAGGGATAGTGCGAGTGTGTTAATCAGAGTTTCTTCCCCTTCCCCCCCCCCCCCCCCCGAACGAAATTAAATTTATATAATTTATATAGAAAATATATACTTTTAACAGTGTCCGCCCCTCCCCCCCCCCCCCCCCCGAAGAAAGTCTACCGTTTCCCCCCCCCCCCCCCCCCCCCGAAAATTTCAAGTGCCCCCCCCCCCCCCCCCGGAGAAAAAAGTCTGGAAGAAACACTGGTGTTAATGTATTGTGATCCCAAGGTCGATTGCGGGTATAAAAGGTGTGTGAACGGTTGTGAGAGGGGCTGTGTGTGGTTAGCTAATTGGTGGAGTTTGTGGACCGATGTTAGGACGAATGAGTGGAAGGCGGGGTCGCGAGGGTGTAAAGAGGGAGGAATAAACACGTTAGAAACTACCTGTGGGAGTGTTGTGTTTTGGTGCGCTTTAGTCAGGATGGGAAGTGCTAAAGTCGACGGGGGGGGGGGAGAGGGAAGGGGTGTGTGTGCTCATTACCCCCAAAGAAAATCTACACCCTCCCCCCCCCCCCCGGATGAAATGGATTTATATGGGGAATATATACTTTTAACAATGTCCGTCAACCCCCGGAAATTTTAGTCCGCTCCCCAGAAAATTTCAAGTGCCCCCCCCCCACCCGAAACACTACCCATCGGTGTCAACCTCAACCACGGAGGGGGGTTGGGACGGACGGCAGGAGGAGGACTGGGGGGTTGTATGCCGAACATGTTTGGAAAACAATGGCTTGATGAATTAAATTAAAAGTAAATTTAGATAGCTTTTCAATAATAATTTAGAAAGTAAAAACGGGTAATTTTGTGAGTTAGCCATATATATATGGCTACAGGACATTACCCCCCTGGATATTTCCCCCCCCGGACATTTCCCCCCCGTATTTACCCCCCGGAGCAATTACCCCCCTGTCAATTACCCCCCTGTCAATTACCCCCCGGGGAATTACCCCCCCCCCCCTCTCAAGTTACAATCCTAACTCTAACTAGAACTTTATACCTATATACTAATTTAATCCAAACCTTAAGAAAAAGACCAAAACCTAAGCATCCACCTCAGCCTAAAACTTCACACAAAACCAAAACCAAAGCTAGACACAACCCTAACCCTAAAACTAGCTCTAACCCTAACCCTAGCCCTAACCCTAACCCTAACCCTAACCCTAGCCCTAGCCCTAGTCCTAGCCCTAGCCCTAGCCCTAATCCTAACCCTAACCCTAACCCTAGCCCTAGCCCTAACCCTAACCCTAACCCTAACCCTAATCCTAATCCTAGCCCTAACCCTAACCCTAACCCTAGCCCTAACCTTAGCGCTAACCCTAACCCTAACCTTAACCCTAACCCTAACCCTAACCCTAACCCTAACCCTAACCCTAACCCTAACCCTAGCCCTAGCCCTAACCCTAACCCTAGCCCTAACCCTAGCGCTAACCCTAACCCAACCCTAACCCTAACCCTTACCCTAACCCTAGCCCTAGCCCTAACCCTGTCCCGGGGGGGGGCGGGTAATGTCCTACTGGGCGGGGGGTAATTGACAGGGGGGTAATTGACAGGGGGGGTAATTACTCTGGGGGGTAATGTCGGGGGGAAATATCCGGGGGGTAATTGACAGGGGGGAAATGCCCTGTTCCCATATATATATATATATATATATATATATATATATATATATATATATATATATATATATGTTATGGTCAAAGCCCGAAGTGCGGCCAAAGCCCACATTGGCCGGCCAATGCGCACATTGGTCGGCTCTCTTGACCAAAGCCCGAAAAACTTAGCACTAAGAGCGTATTTCGTACAAAATGACCCCGGGGACTGTTAAGACTGGGGTCCAGCTCAAGGTTGACTCGCTCCTGCATAAAGCTGTTTACAATATTTAACGAATTTCCCCAGAATAAATGTATTCTTCAAAGCCTTTCATTTACCTGTTTAACATGCGCTCTTCCTGATTACCATAATGATAAACTCTTTCAAAATTAACAAATCGTCTATCTATAACCAATGTGCTAATTTATTTCTTATTGAACGGGGTAATTAGCCATTTCGACCTTTTCATCCGTCTGCAGATGGCTATATAGCGGAAACGTGTTTGCCAAATTTAGCAGTTGCTCGACGTTTTGAAGAGTCGATCAGCGACGTCAACATGTGGACAAAAGTCGTGGTCGCAGTTTGTTTGTTAGGTTTGGCTCACTCTGCATTTGAAAGTAAGTTTTTTAAAAACCTGGCTAAGATCATTTATTTTTTTATGTTTTCATTTTCTTATCGTGTGTTGAGCGGACTGTGTTAGAAAATTAATTTTGTATACTTAGGGGAAACTTACAACAGCTCTGATTGATATTCTATTTGCTATGATAATGTGTTTTATATTTAATTTTTATGAGGGGGACGGCGTGGCCTATCGATAGAGAGCTAGACTGCTAATCCGAAAGTCTCAAGCTCGAAACCGGGTTCTAGTCAGTAGAACGTCCCAACTCTGATGGGTACCTAATTCAAGTTAGGGAAAACAAAGGCGACTGGGCATTGTGCTGACCGCACTATCCCTTCTCATGCCGAGGTCCATGAAACAGATGAACTCTACTTCATCCGCCCCATGTGCCTTGGGATACGCAAAGATGACGACGATAAAAATATAAACATATATTATGAAACAATAGTAAAAATGTTAGTTCCTGTGACTCTTGATGCGTTGTAGTTTTTATTGATGTTTACGTATGTAAATGTTGTCAGTTCGAATGACTTGGTGTTAATGTACAGGTCTAACGACGTTTGGTGCAAATTACATTTTTAATGACTTTGAGTCTCTGTATGTTGAGTCTCACTACTAAAAACTTATTTCCCAAAATAAAAAAATATTAAAAACGCATTATATAGAGCTAATAAAGTATATACATATATTTATATCCTATACACTTCGAATTTTACATCATGTTTAACAGAGGTCTGTGTGGTCCAGCGGTAGAATACGCTATTGTAAATCTAACAGTCACGAGTTCGAAACCTAGACTGCAGACCGTTCAGAGAATGAATTACCTTAGATAAACGAGATTTAGTTCCATGATACACAATTTCATGTTCGTTTTGCTTGGCCAGGTAACGACCAGTGGCGACGCCAGGCCAGAGCGGATCTCGAGCGGGCCAAAAATGTCAAGCAAATAACTAGTTTGGCCAAGAATGTTGTCCTCATGATTGGAGATGGTATGGGTCTACCCACCGTCACGGCGGGTCGCATCTACACGGGTCAAAAGAAGGGTCAGACGGGCGAGGAATACAAGTTTACTTTCGAGCAGTTTCCCAATGTCGCTTTGTCCAAGGTAGGTTTAAAATTTTTCAAACGTCGTTTTATAAAAGGTTGGTTTAAAGCTTCCAAACATCGGTTTATACAAGGTAGGTTTAAAGCTTACAAACATCGTTTTATACAAGGTAGGTTTAAAGCTTCTAAACATCGTTTTATACTAAGTAGGTTTTGACAGTTTCCCAACACTGCTTTGTCCAAGGTAGGTTAAATAGTCTACCAACTTAAACATTGAAACTACTCTACCATTTAACTACTAACTACTTGACAGTCTGCTTACATGGCACATTACCTTACTACTAGACAACTTACCAAATTATTTGACACATTCCTAGCTTCATAACAACTCCCATAAGAATAAGACAACTTGTCTAACTTCTTGGCACATTGCCTAACAACTAGATAACTTGCCTAATTTCTTGAAAACTATACTATTTGATAACTTGCGAGATCCAATATAGGCATCCATTTAAATAGTTTTTTATCACTGTCCCTTACTCCTTTTAACGTAATAGCCAACTGGTAGAGAAAATGATTACCAACACAAAATCTCGAGTGTTATTCCTCAGCTATCTTTTGTAACGAATCTATTCTTGGGAAAGTAAAGGCAGCTGAGCATTGTGCTGGGTTCAAGTGCTGAAGTTAAAGAAACAGTTAAACTCTACTTCATCTGTTGTATGGACCATGGGATCTGAACTGGAGAACTCATTGTCCTCTGACTCAGAAACCCTAATTTGAGATGTTTCCCAAAGGTTAACAGTGGTCTGGGCCATTTTTGTTTTCAGTTCACTACGTGTCGTTTTTCAGCATACGTTTGCAGTTATGTGTTAATTAATGCTAATTATTCATACAAAATTAGCATCGATTTCCAAACCAACAGTTGGGATATCCCATCGGCACACCATCTGTTGCCTTTATCAGCTCTGTGCTGTCAATTGAGATGTAACCATAAAGGGAAAAAACTCTTAAAATTATTTTGTATCACTTCGGTTGATTCTCTTCTTTGTTTCGTTTCTGCTGACTTGTGTTATATTATATCTACTTCTAGAATGTAAATAATTTCAACGAGCATACGCCGCTATTTAGTTCAATTCCTATTTTTCAGTAAGTCATAATTTGTGAGTTCCACACTACCAATGCTGTGACTGAAAATATTTTGCTTTAAAACACTATCAGTAGCTAGTTAAGGGCGATTATCCTCACCCTCAATTTCCACTCCTCCCCCCCCCCCCCTCCCCCCCCCCCCCGGCCCCCGCCTCCGTGAAAGCAGCCGTCTGTGACGACAGTTTACAGACGACAATAGAAAGAGCAAGCAGAACATGTTATTATCTCCACTTAGTTTCAAATAGTTTAAAAACTAAATTATCTGCCCCTAATAACCGTCACTACGATTGTAAACAGCTCACTAGACTGGTGGGGGGGGGGGGGGTAGGGGTGGTAGCGATATGGTCTGTTGAGCTTACGTCTTGGTGGTGTCTCGCATGGTCCCAACGTAGAGAATTATATATATACATGTTTCGACATTGTTACGATGTTATGTTATGGTTAGGTCTTGGTGTTGGGTTAGATATCCAATGTAATGGTGTATCGAAGGTATACTATACCTATTCTTAACTTTCAACCATATATATATAAATATATATATGGTTGCTTTTATGTATATATATATATATATATATATATATATATATATATATATATATATATATATATATATATATATATATATATATATATATATATCTAATATATAAAGCTCAGTTCTGTATGTAATGCATTTGTATGTCGTTGGAATTGTACGAATTTAAGTGTTAGAAAATTATCGTGCGCATTTGTCTAAATTTATGAGCTAAAAAATTACTATTGAAAGTGTTGGGAAATAATTTTCATTTTTCAAATTATAGTAATAATTGTCGGCATGTTCAATAAACACAAGTTTTAAAAAAAATATCATCTTTTACAAAAATTCTAATTATGTCTTTATTTAGTCCTATAGCACTTACTTCCCTTTGATAAATTAGGAAAAACACAATTACTTCCCTTTATAAAACCATTGCATTCCGTGAAAATAATTTACTTTTTATAACACGTTTTTAACACGTTTTTCTTAACTCAGCTTCGCGTTTGTTTGTTTGTTTGTTGTTAAAATTGACATCGAAAATTAGCCCACTTCTGATTGCTCTAGAGACCTGAAATTTGGCATGCATGCTACTTTCGCCTAACAATTTCAGATGCAATCATAAAAACTAGCAATTAGTGACCGTAATTAGCTTAATTTAATTACGCCCCAAGGACCATAAAATTGAGGACATGATTTCTAAAGATACCGACAAGACTTGAGGCCTATTGACACAGTTACTTCGGCCCCAATCGATGTGAGCGCGCTGGCCGTGATCGTATAGTGGTTAGTACTTCGCGTTGTGGCCGCGACAACCCAGGTTCGAATCCTGGTCGCTCAAGATTTTTAGTCCGTGTATTTATAAACACTTTTTTAAAAACCACGTTTTTCATATGTAGCAACGGACTAAAAATGAGAAAATAAAATACTTAAAAAAAACTTTTTAAAAAACCACGTTTTTTATGTGTAGCAACGGACTAAAAAGGAGAACGGACACGGTAACACATTGTTAACGGTGACACGGTTGGTACGCTGGGCATGCTAAAATACACATAAACACGTTTTTCCTTAACTCAGCTTCGCGTTTATTTGTTTGTTTATGGGAGATTTGATCACGTGATTCGTGAGTAGATCTCCACGCCAGCAACGTAAATTACACCCTTTCTCTGTTTAAAGCGTATCGGTCGCTCAAGATTTTTTTAGTCCGTGTATTTAAAAACACTTAGTCAAGTCATACTTAATCAAGTGATTAGATAAAGTAGAAAATAAACTATATAAAAAACTTTTTAAAAACCACGTTTTTCATGTGTAGCAACGGACTAAAAAGGAGAAAATAAAATACTTAAAAAAAAACTTTTTAAAAAACCACGTTTTTCTTGTGGACTAAAAAGTAGAAAATAACTATTTACATACATTTGATGACAAAAAACGTGGGTCGGGCAGATGGGTCGGGAAATTTGATGGTGAACGTACCCACGTTTTTTGTCATCAAATGTATGTAAATAGTTATTTTCTACTTTTTAGTCCACAAGAAAAACGTGGTTTTTTAAAAAGTTTTTTTTTAAGTATTTTTATTATTAACTCAGCTTCGCGTGGATGTGTTTGTTGTTAAAATTGACATCGAAAATTAGCCCACTTCTGATTGCTCTATAGATCTGAAATTTGGCATGCAGGTTACTTTCGCCTAACAATTTCAGATGCAATCATAAAAACTAGCAATTAGAGACCGTAATTAGCTTAATTTAATTACGCCCAAAGGACCATAAAATTGAGGACATGATTTCTAAAGATACCGACAAGACTGGAGGCTTGTTGACACAGTTACTTCGGCCCCAATCGATGTGAGCGCGCTGGCCGTGATCGTATAGTGGTTAGTACTTCGCGTTGTGGCCGCGACAACCCAGGTTCGAATCCTGGTCGCTCAAGATTTTTTTAGTCCGTGTATTTATAAACACTTAGTCAATTCATACTTAATCAAGTCATTAGATAAAGTAGAAAATAAACTATATAAAAAACTTTTTTAAAAAACACGTTTTTCATGTGTAGCAACGGACTAAAAAGGAGAAAATAAAATACTTAAAAAAAACTTTTTAAAAAACCACGTTTTTCTTGTGGACTAAAAAGTAGAAAATAACTATTTACATACATTTGATGACAAAAAACGTGGGTCGGGCAGATGGGTCGAGAAATTTGATGGTGAACGTACCCACGTTTTTTGTCATCAAATGTATGTAAATAGTTATTTTCTACTTTTTAGTCCACAAGAAAAACGTGGTTTTTTAAAAAGTTTTTTTTAAGTATTTTATTAATTACTTTGTTTTGGTGTTGGGAAAAAAAAATAATTACATAATTAGCGGGGATTGATCAAGTGCAAATGTTGTAGGTATTTTACGGATAGGCTTGGAGTATTAAAATTGTTCATTAAATTGAAACAGGCGCGTTCGTTTAAGTGAGTGCAAAAGACTATGAATAAGTTGGGGTACTATAGTCGTTCATTAAGCTAAAACAGGTGATTCCGCCCCGGGCGTTTATGTTCGCGTTAGTGTTTTCTTTGTGTTTAGGTGGGTTTGCGTTAGTGGTTGCGTTTTGATTTGGTTCGTTTTTGTTCTTTCTTTTTTCGTTTTTGTTTGTGTTTTTTTGTTTGGGTTTGTATTTGTGTTTTTGGTTGGTTTTGCGTTTGGATTTGGTTTGTTTTCGTTTGCTTTTTCGTTGTTTTTTTTTTTTTGTTGGTATTGGTGTTTGTGGTTGGGTTTGTTGTTAGGTTTTTGTTTTCGTTTGCTTTTTTGTTTGTTTTTTCTTTGTGTTTGTATTGGTGTTTGTGGTTGTGGTTGGGTTTGTTGTTAGGTTTTTGTTTTCGTTTGTATTTGTAATTGTGTTAGCGTTATGTTTGCGTTTTGTTGTTTTGGTTGGTTGTGGTTTGGGTGGGCAATGCCGGGTTTATGATGATTACTAAACACACAGGTAATGGTCTTTAACAGAAAGGTTTTTCACAGAAGCCAGAGCAGGGCCTGGCCGGGACGGCTAGTATATATATATATATATATATATATATATATATATATATATATATATATATATATATATATATATATATATATAATATAATATTTTTAAATTAATTCATTAATTTATTTGTTCATGTGTTCGTTGGTCCGTTGGTTCGTGTGTTTTTTTGTTCGTTCGTTTGTTTGATTGTTTGTTTGTTTATTCATTCATTTATTTATTTAAATTATTTATTGATATAATGTATTTATTTATATAATTTATATATGTTTGTGTGTATGCGTGTTTATATGTAGATAAAAGAATGATTGTATCTGTTTCCTGTCCACAAGACATATAACCTTGACCGTCAAGTGCCAGACAGTGCTGGAACCGCTTCCGCCATCATGACAGGGGTCAAGGTCAACCTCGGGACCCTCGGGGTCGACGGCTCGGTGCCTTACGGAGAGAACTGCACGGAGTACAGGAAAGACAGGCATCTGAAGACTATACTGGACTACGCCTTGGAAGCAGGTTTGCTATTACAAATACACATGTCTCCATTTGTTCATTGATATCTGAAAGCTGTTAGATCACTTGTCACATTAGTTTGTCGAGCAATCTAAGCAAAAAGATGGACTAGTGTTATGGACTTTTTTTTTTGCCTGATCGGATACTGATGAATATACACTCGAGGTTTTAATACAGAACACCCTATGGCGTCTAGGCGGAAGAATGACAAAACTCGCGCCCCAACAGCTAAGATCCATAAAATGCAGAAAAACTATTAAACATGGTGATGTGTCTAAAAATACACAACAGGTAACAATTATCGTAACGAGTTCCCTTATATTACATTTCTTCCGAGATCGCAGCAACGATGCGACGGGCACGCAGTTAATATTTTTGATTATGGAAACAATACGAAAAGTGTGAACTTGTGTGAGCAGTAGAATACATGAACTGATATTTGTGAACCATATGTTAACTGCTGTCTGTGACGTCATCAGGTAAATCAGTCGGAGTGGTGACAACGACCCGTATCACACACGCAACACCTGGGTCCACGTACGCTCACACGCCGTGGAGGTGAGTAGTTTAACTGGGTGACTAGGTGAGAGATAAACAGGTGAGTAGTCAGGTGATAGGGGAACAGAGGGGTAGCCAGGTGTGAACTAACAGTTGGGTAGTTAGGTGAGAAATTGACAGGTGTGTAGTCAGGTGAGAAATGAACAGATGTGTAGTCAGGTGAGAAATGAACAGATGTGTAGTCAGGTGTGAAATAAACAGGTGGGTAGTCAGCTGTGAAATAAACAGGTGGGTAGTCAGGTGTGAAATAAACAGGTAGGTAGTCAGGTGTGAAATAAACTGGTGGGTAGTCAGTTGTGAAATAAACAGGTGTGTAGTCAGGTGTGAAATAAACAGGTGGGTAGTCAGGTGTGAAAGAAACAGGTTGGTAGTCAGGTTGAAAATAAGCAGGTAGGTGGTCAGGTGTTAAATGAACAGGTGGGTAGTCAGGTGGGAAATAAACAGGTGGGTAGACAGGGTGAAATAAACAGGTGGGTAGTCAGGTGTGAAATAAACAGGTGGGTAGTCAGGTGAGAATTAAACAGGTGTGTAGTCAGGTGTGAAATAAACAGGTGGGAAATAAACAGGTGCGTAGGCAGGTGTGAAATAAACAGGTGGGTAGTCAGGTGTGAAATAAACAGGTGGGTAGTCACGTGTGAAATAAACAGGTGTGAAATAAACAGGTGGGTAGTCACGTGTGAAATAAACAGGTGGGTAGTCAGGTAAAAAATAAACAGGTGGTTATTCAGGTGAGAAATAAACCGGTGGGCAGTCAGATGGGAAATGAGCTGGCGTCTTGCCTAGTGGGAACTAGTTTTAATTAAAGCATGTTTATATCAAATATGACTAAACAAAAACAGAACCCTCCGTAAAAAAATAAAGCCTAACACTTTTGTTTAGAGACTGGGAGAGCGACACGGACATGAAGGGGATCCAAGGCTGTGAACACCTGAAGGACATCGCCTACCAGCTGGTCATGGACAACCCTAACATCAACGTAAGCTATATATATATATATATATATATATATATATATATATATATATATATATATATATATATATATATATATATATATATATATATATATATATATACATTGTATGATGCACCATTCTGATCAAATAGAATGAAAATGTATCTTTATGTTTTCTACCCCTGACCAGGTTCTGTTAGGTGGTGGCAGACGTAGCTTCATCAACAACACGACCCCTGACCCGGGGACTAAGAAAATCAGCTCCAACCAACGTACCGACGGTCTGGATTTAAGGGAGGTAAGATATTTGTTGAAAGGGGGTTTCCCTTTGTTAAAGATTAGAGATGCCTCTCAGTAGACATTTTAAAATGATGACTAGGAAATTTCGAGTTTGCCTAAACGCTTTACGTTATTATTATTTTAAAAAGCTATAGATCTGGTTTGAATAGATTTATATCTGAGTGATTATGGTTGTCTATTTTAGTACACTTTTTTAAGAATGATCGACTTTGAAAAAATAAACATGATAATTTTTTTTTTTTTTTGTTAAACGCTTGAAAAATCATAACATAAATAACTATCGAAGTTGCCTCAACACTGATTTATAAAACTACTTATTATTTTACACTGTCGTTACCATAGCTTTCGCTTATTTTGCGCCCATGGGATAAATATCTCTTAACATCTTGTCTTGGGCCGTTTGCTGTAGTGGTAGGCGAATTTGATGGCACACACAAACTGCAATATAATTAAGGATTTCGTTAAAATAAATTGAAGTTTATCAAGAATACATTGGAGTTTATCAAAAGTGGAAATAAATTTCTATTGTAAAGGCATGGAAAGCAGAGAAGAGATCACGTGGTGTGGCGCATGCGTATGTAGAGAACAAGGCCCAGTTTGATGCGGTGGACCCACTCAAGACCGATTATCTGTTTGGTAAGGGAAGTAACTCTAGAAAAACCCATAATAAACATTGAAGTAATCCTTACAAGTCAGGGGTCGGCAACCTTTTCAGACGGAAGACCCAAAAGTTACAATCTACAAAAATTTAACAATTTTTAAAGAGCCACTAACATTTTATGTGCACTTCGGTAGTGGAAAGCATGGAACCATTGCCACGGGGCTGGCCACAGCACAGTTTGTGGGCCTGGGCCTAATGCCTAGCGGCTGTCGGCCAGTGTTTCTTCCAGGCATCTATTTATTATTATAAATATAATATAAATATTATATTTATAATATTTTTGAGTTTTGAAAATAATATAACTATTATGGAACTGGAGAGCCGCATCTTGACATCAAAAGAGCCGCAGGTTGCCGACCCCTGTTACAAGTTATAGAAGCCAACTGACCAGTATGATTTAACATGTTAAATCTTATCATTTACACAAATCAGCTGTAACAGTTCATTATCATTTTAACTTTCATTTATTGTTTTTTTAAATATTCTAAACCTAAATGACGTTCAGGATTGTTCACCTCAAGTCACATGACTTATGAGCTAGAACGTAACCCGACAGAAGAGCCGTCACTCACTGAAATGGTGGACAAGGCCATCAGAATTCTCAGGAAAAATCCGAAAGGTTATTTCCTGCTCATTGAAGGTTTGATCTCTCTCATTATTGTTTGATTTAAGATTGTTAGGCTATTGGTAGAGGGTCAAAAAGTAGTGTCAATTAATGGCTGGTATCGACTAATAAGGAAGCCGCTAGTGTATCGATCTTGGTATCGTTGACAAAGTATAAAACGTTGATAGATACCAGTAGGTATCTAAATGGAACAAAATTATGTTATAAAGTAAAAAATAAAGTACACATTCGAACTTAGGGACAGTTAGTAGAGTGCACCTGTTACTATGACCTCGGTATATGAAGAGATAGTGTGGTCAGCACTATACCCAGTCGCCTCTACTTTCCCTAACGTGAGCTCGGTAACCATCAGAGCTGGGTGGACTCAGGGGCTTCCTACGTAATTGAGCCCGGGATCTGAACTCCAGATATTCGGGTTAGCAGTCGAACGCTCTGCTATTCATCATTTTCTAGATACACACAAAATTTCAATTTTGATCTGTATTTGAAATTTAAAACGAGTCAGATTGGGTCAGATGCGTAGCGACCCTTCCCGGCGCCCGGGGACAAACTTTTCGATTTGCACCCCCCCCCCCCCTCAAACTTTCGATTTGCACCCCCCCCCCTCGAGATTTCGATTTGCACCCCCCCCCCCTCAAACTTTCGATTTGCACCCCCCTGAACCTTTCAATTTATTTTTCCAACCCATTTTGGCGCCCCCTAAGGTCGGCGCCCGGGGACATATGTCCCCCCCCCCCCGTCCCCCGTCCCCCCTCGCTACGCTACTGGATTGGGTATCACGTTCTTATTAATTTAACGCTAAATAACATGAATATACAGAACCCTACCTGGATTAATAGGCATGTGATATTCGCAGGGGGTCGGATAGACCACGCCCACCACGACAACTACGGTAAACGAGCCTTGGAAGAAACCTACGAGTTGGATAATGCAGGTAGACAAAAATATAAAGTTTTGAATTTTATCAACAAAGTTAAATTTCGTTGACTAGTTTGTTTTTATTAGAGTTTAATTTTGTTTCCATGAGTTTCAGGGCATAAGTCTTTCGACTTGGATGCTTTAACTTCACATTGCAGCCTCTCCCCCCGGCATACACTCCCGCGCACAACCCCCCCCCCCCCCCCTTCCCTTTCCAACTTAAAAATAAGCTGGAGTTTAATCTCTAATCCTTTAGGACAACAAGAGAAAAGAGACTATCGTGCCACTCGATTTTAACCACCCCACTTTGATAGTATTAGACTTAAACCCTGGAATTTTCACTTCCTATTCAGCTGATGATTTCCTTGTATCAAAGCATACAGAATCCTACAACTCTATTAGTATAATAAACGTCACATTATTTTAGTGTTAAATCATTTACAAGTTTTATTCTGCTTGATTGTGGCTTTAATATCAATACAATGCAATGAATAAACAATTTGATTGAGTTAAGCTCTCTCTAAGAGCCTAGTTATATAAAGTATCCTTCAATAAAAATAACTCCGGTGTGTGTAACTTCATAATTTTTCGGGTTTGGGTAATACCTGCAGTACAGTTAGCTATCACGCCACTGACTCATCCACGATATGTAATCAGCTCAACGCTAATTAATTGCTGTACATCATTCACACATCCACAATGTATAATCGACTCAATGCTAATTAATTGCCGTAAATACATGATTTTTTTTTCCATCCAGTTAAAAAAGTGGGCCAGATGGTTTCCATCCAAGACACGCTGACCATCGTCACAGCTGACCACTCCCACGCATTCGGCATCGCTGGGTACCCAACTAGAGGCAACAACATCCTGAGTAAGTGCTCATTAGTCTAAATAGTTAATGCTAATTATAAGGTTTAGGCTGCTCCCTGCGGCCCTTAAATAGTGTGATACTGATTTCTTTACCAGTGGGATTGTTGCGATAAGATGATCGTATAAAGTCCAATAAGCCAGAATAACGTTGTCCTGAGCTATTTTATCATCTTTTTCCCGTTCGTGCTCCAAGACAAACGGGACAGATGAAGTAGAGTTCATCTACTTCAATTACCTCGGCATACAATAAGGTATTGTGGTCAGCATTATGTCCAGCCGCTTTACTTTCACTAACAGGCTCTTGCCCTGGATCCGAATTCGAGACGTTCGGGTTAGCAGTTGTAAGCTCTACCATCCGACCACGCCGTCCTATCAGCTTAACTGTGGGTGACTTGAATCCGGTTACTCGGGCAGGTTAGGCTCGTTAGCTGTGGACAGCCACTCTTCTTTGAGAGACAACTCTAAAATTAAAATTAAACAACTGCTGCCTTGTCTTTTGTTATTGGTTGGACAAAGGCTATGGAACCAAATCCAAAAAGAAAAGCAGGCTGAAATCGGAGTCAATGGCCTCAATGGCGCATAACCAGTTGACACGTATCCTTAATTGTGCTGGAGAGGATCCCTTCCAACACTAAAATTAAGAACGAAGAAGAAGAAGAAGAGAACCCGGTTAGAAAATACTAGGACATCTGGCATAAAGACGAGAAATGATTCCACTTTGTTTTGAACTGTTGTCAGGTGTTGTTGACGACATCTTGAAAGGAGAGGACCCGTATGATAACCTGCCGTACTTGACCTTGAACTATTTTAACGGACCAGCGTACGGCAGGACAGACCTGACCAATGTCGATACTAAAGGTGAGCAGGTTATTTATAGCCTAGTGGGAGAGTAGGACAGGGTAGTGTAGGACATGGTAGTGTGGTGTGGTGTGGTGTGGTATGGTGTAGTGTAGTGTAGTGTAGTGTAGTGTAGTGTAGTGTAGTGTAGTGTAGTGTAGTGTAGTGTAGTGTAGTGTAGTGTAGTGTAGTGTAGTGTAGTGTGGGTTGGTGTGGTGTGGTGTGAGGTGGTGTGGTGTGAGGTGGTGTGGTGTGGTGTGGTGTAGTGTAGTGTAGTGTACACGCAGAAAAAATAACTTTGGAGTGTTCCATTACGGAATGGTTGCAACTCGCAAAGTTAACCTAAAAGAAGGTACTTTTGAGTAATTAGTGCTCTGTAAACACGTTCAGGATGTGATTTTGGATTAAAGTGACATGGTTGATATATAGATTATATACGTATAATTATGATTCAATTAAGGCCTCGAAATGACGCTGACTCTGTTTTAAATTCTATTTATAGACAACAATTTCCAACAGCCCGGGTGTGTGGGGATGCCGTACGCCGCCCACGGTGGGGAGGACGTCGCGATATACGCGCAAGGTGAGTACCTAACAGTAGCGGAACTGGAAAAAGTGGCTTTTGGGCATTTGTCGCATTCGGGTAAGTATACATTCGGGCATTTGTCGCATTCGGGTAAGTACACATTCGGGCATCTGTCGCATTCGGGAAGTGTATATTCAGGCATTAGTGGCATTCGGGCGAGTGTCCATTCGGAAAACGGTCTTCTGGCAAACGGCCTTCATGGTGACGACGGTGCTTATTCATTTGAAAGCCTTTAAAACTGCGAGGGGTCCTAATCTATAGTTTAGCTTACACGTTAATCCGTCTGATGATGACTTGTTGCTGTGGTACAGACAAAAATTCCTGCCACCCCCAGGGCTCATGTCCCTCCCTGAAATTTTTTTTTACTGCTGCCCTTAGGAATCACGCCCCATCTTGAATGGTTTTTTTTTTCCTATTCCCCCTAGGGCCCATGTCCCACCTGTTCCACACCACCCATGAGCAGAACTACATCGGTCACGTGATGATGTACGCATCCTGTATAGGAGAGTACAAGAGCTCGTGTGATTTGAAGAGTCGGAAACGGTGAGTGAACAGTGCTAGTATAGAGAAACATAAAACATTTCCTTTAAAAAAATATTTACATGAATATACTTGTCAACATTAATTTGTTACACGGAAATAAAATAGTGAAGTATTTAATGAATATTGAAGGACGCAATTTTCGTTTAGTTGTAGTTTTTCCGTCTTTTATTGATCAATTGTATTTTAAAGCGTGTGGTTAGCTTTATCCAGTGGTTAGGAATATCATATCAAACCGCATTGGATCGTATATCTTAAGATTAGATTGTATAGGGTGGAATCGTATTATGATGTTTAACTTGATTTTTAAATATTTTTGATCTGCATGATCTACTAGGTTGTGTGATTAAAATCCAAGCCCCTTTATATTTTAAATAAATGTGTTTTAAACTATACCTTATAATCATTATGTAATAGTATTATGTATTAATATTTCTGGACTAAATGTGTATACATACTTTTCCAGTCGTTGATGAAAGAACGAGATCCCACCGGTTGGACTAAAAAAGAACAGTGACCAACAGTTACTGCCCTTTAACAAGTTTTCCACACATTCCTATAGCTGTTTCACGTGTTGTAGCAAATAAACTAATTTTTTTTTCAAGATCATCTGGTGTTTTTTTTTCTGTTGCTGTTGTGCGTGTGGTGTTGATAAACTTGGTGGTGTTTTGAGTGGTGTGTCTTTTTAGTCTGATGTTACTTTGTGTGGTGTATGCCTGATGGTGTTTCGTGTCATTTATGGGTGCATACGTGTAATTGCTAAAATAACTGGTCAACACAGAAACATTCGAAATACTACCGCATCAGGTTAATGATGATCTTTAATACGGTATTGGAAATTAATAGTATTCATTTTTAAACAGTAAGCCTATATATATGTGTGTGTGTGCGTGCGTGCGTGCGTGCGTGCGTGCGTGCGTGCGTGCGTACGTGCGTGCGTGCGTGCGTGCGTGCGTGTGTGTGTGTGTGTGTGTGTGTGTCATGACGGTTTTGATAACGTAAATGTGTGGTTTTACAATATTTAATTCATTTTGAAACTGAGGGTATACACAAAGCGACACGTGCATGCTGTCATTCACCTCTCTACGGCAACCGTGCCCCACACATCAACCCCCCCCCCCCCCTCACCCCACACCAGGACCGTGACCCAAATATAACTACTAGCAAACCGTCGAGAGATCACTAGCAACAAACCCGTCTCGCTAAACGGGTCACTAAACTATCTGGGTACAAGTTTGTAAAAAAAAAATTTTACTTGAAAATATCACATCTTACATTGCTGGAGAATTCGAAAATATCTAAACAGCTTGAGTGGCATATAGAACTTATAACAGCACAATCATATTAAACAGAATTTTGGAAGACAGCCTACAACCAAATAAACCCTGATTTATAATTATATGTACGCGTATAGATATTTATTTACCGGTTAAATATTGAAGAACATGTGGATTTCTGTCATTGTCACAATCGGTCTATTTAGGCTTGGATATTCTGAATTTGAGAGTAAGTCATTTTTATTTTCAATTTTATTTATATTTGTTTTAACACGATTTGATTTGCTTTTAGAAGGCTATGTTCAGTTTCTTGAAAACAGCTTGTATGAATTTTTTACGGCATTTAAAATATTTTACTTTGAAGATATTATCATAGAATTAGAATACTTTAAATATATTTTTTTCATGCGTTCAGAAATATATATTTCCAGTCTTATGCTTTATTTATTGCGTTTAATTATTGAAACCAAACGCGTCTAGATTTTGAAATCATAAATGGGTTCAGTCGTTTACGTTTTTTTTTAATGCAAAATGTGTGCACTCAATCGTTGCACATGAAAGTAAGATCAAAGGCGTATGTAGAGGGAAGAGTAGGCCTATCAAAAGTAAAGATTGTGCATATTTGTATGTGTGTTATCTTATATGTTTCTTTCGTCGTGCTTTAGTATGTATTTTCTAAAACTGTGGGAGAATTTCTGTATGAGAAGGGGAGGATAAGCCCGCCCCCTCCAACATAATATTAATACATATACATATCTACCACACACATACACACACACACACACACACGCCTTAGTGAGAGGCTAAATCCGCTGATGAATAGGGTACAAAATTAAGATCTATTACAATTAGCAGAGGTCTACGTGGTCCAGCGGTAAAATACGCGATTGTAAACCAAACAGTCACGAGTTCGAATCCCTGGCTGCAGACCGTTCAGAGAATGAATTACCTTATAGAAACAAAAAGTTGTACCATGATACAAGATTTCATGTTCGTTTTGCTTGACCAGATAACGACCAGTGGCGACGTCAGGCCAGAGCGGATCTCGAGCGGGCCAAAAATGTGAAGCAAATAACTAGTTTGGCCAAGAATGTTGTCCTCATGATTGGAGATGGTATGGGTCTACCCACCGTCACGGCGGGTCGCATCTACACGGGTCAAAAGAAGGGTCAGACGGGCGAGGAATACAAGTTTACTTTTGAGCAGTTTCCCAATGTCGCTTTGTCAAAGGTAGGTTTAAACTTTCCAAATATTGATTTATACAAGGTATGTTTTGACTATTTGTCAGCATCGCTTTGTCCAAAGTAGATTTAGACAGTTTCATAAAATTATTTTTGGTACAAAGTAAACGCTGTGAAAATTTTGTCTATAGTAAGCGACGTGTAGTTTTACAGCATCATTTTGTTCAAGGTATACGGAAAATGTTGAACAAAACGCATTAAATACAGCCATTCGCATCAGATATCAATTTATTGACAGGCATACTCAGATAAGTACACACTCATGGTATTTAAAGAGTTAACTTTGGTCAAAATATGTAACATGTTTTGTGATATTTTAGCGAAAGTCTTCGTCAATAAAAAGTGGGGGAAGTGAATTTGTCAATGATAGAAGAATTTGTGTGTTTGTTAGGGTTAGGGTTTATGAGATGGGTGGTGGGTTTGGTTGTGGGCAGAAGGGGTTAGGGTTTGCATGGCTAGGGTGTTAGGTCTAGAGTATTGGGGTATGGCGTGGAAGATTAACCTTACAGCGAACAACCAGCGTACTTTATCCCTGACTGTAATGTCTATAGACCGCAACACGGTATCTACGTGCGGCGTTCAAGCCTGAAAAGGTTTGTCTATTTACCGTGATGAAAAAAAAAGTGTTTATTTTACACTTGTGTCCTTGTGAAAAGATAAACCAGAATTTTTTACGTTCTGCACTTCAAATTTTGCTTGTGAACTTTTCCTTTGGTTACAATTCTTGTAGTATATCTGTTTTGGAGGATTGCTTTCAAACATTTTTTAAGTATTTTCGTATTTATTGATAAAAAAAATTAATATAAACACATTTATAAAAACCCAGCAGAAACATTATTATTAAAATACTACAACTGAAACATGAATAAACTCAATACAACAAGCAGGTATTAGATCTTGTTAAAACTCCAAAACTGGAGAAGGGCTTGCAAAAGTCTTCTGGCGTAGCCTCACTTTCAAATCACAAATTTTTGGCGCCATTTTTTAAGTAATTCGGTGAGTAGCAGGTGGTATTTGCCAAGCCCTGGATCTAGATTCTAGATCAAGAACATTTCTAGAAGTATCGACTCTGTACGCAGTGTTTCTTTCATTGTTCATTTCAGGTATCTCTCCACGTTGGGGGAGGGTAGTACAAATATCGGTAGAGAACATGTCCTTGTGTCCTCTAGCACCATCTAAATATCAACAGAGGAAATGTCCCTAGTGTAAACAGGACATGTCGCATTACTGACAGAACTCCAGTACTGAAAGGGAATCATGTGACCTACACGTTTCGTATGCAATATCCGGTATTAATCGTAACTTAACCACCTGAATTTTATTCATGTTTCATTTTTTTTCTATAAGTTTATAAAGGTGGTAGGGAGGCTCCGTGGGTGTCGTCAGCAAATATTTGGCCGGTGATTTATTTTTCTATGTCCTTGGCTTGTATAGAGTTTCTTTTACAAAATTTCAATGGCGCTGGTAAAGCAGAGCACACCTGTTTCTATACCCAGCCTTTGTTCCGCTAACCTTTGCCGGGTACCCCTTTTGTGCTGGGTGGACTCACGATCGTCAAAGTCGACAGCCAACTTTTCAATGGAAGCCAAACCGGGCTTTAATTTATTATCGTAAACACAATTTCAAGGTTCATTTTTAAACTGCACCGTCATTACTCCTCGGGGTAATTCTGCAACAAAACATGAAAAAAAATGTTTTACTTCGATTATCGATATTTTGTTTATCACCTTAGTCACCAAAAATAATAATATGTAGTCATTATTAGTGCTACTTAATTTTGTTGATTAATATCGACTGAGAAAAATAAAACAAAAGGCGTCTCACATTTTTATAGTAGGTCACAGAGTAATCTGTAAATCAATCGTAATTTTGGATAAATTAAATATTTGCAGAAATGAGATTTCAGAGGATCATACGTTTTGATTAACTTTATTATACAAATGTGCTGAGTCTTAGTCAGTGGCGTAGCGAGGGGGGGTGTGGACCGTACCGGGTGACACCATTTAGGGGTGGGGGTGACACCAAGGTAAAAAAATAGCAAAATATATAGAGAAAAATAATAATTCCACTTAATAAGTGATTAATTCGAGTGTTAAATAGTCTTTTAAGAGGTGCAAATGGAAAGTTTGAGGGGTGGGGGTGCAAATCGAAATTAAAAAGTTTGTCCCCGGGCAGGGTCGCTACGCCTCTGGGGGGGTGACACCATTAAGTGCCGCACCGGGTGACACCCGACCTCGCTACGCCACTGGTCTTAATTATATATCTCATTATACAACTCTTTTCCAAAAAATATAGCTTCGCTGACTCTAGTTCTAATTTGTGGAATAAATAAAAAAATTAAAAAATATATATCTGAAAATATATTCAAAACTAAACTTAAAAAATGACCTCTTGAACTGACTCATAGCTATATTTCTCATTCATCTATTAATTTCTCATATTATCGCATTGTGTATAAACTGTGTATTATAGCTATGTAATATTATTTCTTTATTCAAAATTTTGAATGCTATCAAATGCTATGTTACTCTTATACCTGTACTATTCAAGTGATATTTTATTAAAATGTTATTATGTGTTGTTTGTTTAACGACCAATGTGAAAAAAGGCCTCCGTGCCCACTGGTATTGAATAAAGTTGAATACATTGTTTTGTATTAAAATATTTACATCTGTTTCTGTCCACAAGACATACAACCTTGACCGTCAAGTGCCAGACAGCGCTGGAACCGCTTCCGCCATCATGACAGGGGTCAAGGTCAACTTAGGAACCCTCGGGGTCGACGGTTCGGTGCCCTTTGGGGAGAACTGCACGGAGTACAGGAAAGACAGGCATCTGAAGACTGTCTTGGACTACGCTCTGGAATCAGGTTTAGTCGATTATTAAATTCTGTTTCAACGCACGTTTGAAAACTATTTAACTTGTATTCCTTCTTTAGATATGTGTGTGCCGTGTGGTGGAGGGATAGAGTTCACTAGTACCAACCTGAAAGTATCGGTCGTGCTTAAGTTGATCTTAGGTCGTACTGAGCTCCGATGGGTACCCGACAGGAGACGGGGAAAGTAGAGGCGGCTGGGCATAGTGCTGAACACACAATCCCTACCTATGCAAATAAAACAGGTTCACTCTAGCTTCTCTTCTCTGTGGATCGTCACCTCACCTGGACTTTAACCATAAGGTTAAAAAATAAGAATATAATTAATTTTTCAGTTTGAAAGTGCTAAACTCCGTCGTCTCCTTGGGTCTCAATGTGTGGTTTGAGATGACATTATGACCTCAGATAAGAGTATCCCCCGTGTATACCCTACTGTTTTGTATACATACCCTACTGTTTTGTATTCATTGCCAGGTAAATCTGTTGGTATAGTGACCACAACCCGTATCACCCACGCCACACCTGGGGCTGCATACGCTCACACACCTCACAGGTAAGATTGGTGTATCAGGTATTCAGGTATAATAGGAGATTTTGTTTACGGGGCGTTAGGTTCGGGGAGTTTATGTTTAGATAGGGGTTGAGTCAATGTTGGTGTTGTGTGTAGGAGCTTATATCGCGGGTAGGGTTATGTTGGGGAGTTCATATCGCGGGTGGGGTTGTGTGTAGGAGTTTATATTGCGTATAGGGTTATGTTGGGGAGTTTATATCGTGGGTAGGGTTGTTTGTAGGAGTTTATATCGCGGGTAGGGTTGTTTGTAGGAGTTTATATTAGGGGTAGGGTTATGTCGGGGAGTTTATATTGCGAGTAGAGTTGTGTCGGGGAATTATATTCCGGATGGGGTTGGGTCCAAAGTGTTAAATTCTAGGGCGGGGGGTCAGGGAGTGATGATAATAAAAACGTATAATTATTATTCAGTTTATGTGTCGAGCTTCAACGTTTATATTACAACAACAGTTCTTGCCATTAACAACAAGGAAAATTGCTGTATTAAAATAGCACATATCAGTTTAAATAGACTTATTCTTATATATATATATATATAAATATATATATATATATATATATATATATATATATATATATATATATATATATATATATATATATATATATATATATATATATTTATATATATATTTATATATACATATATATATACATATATATATATATATATATATATATATATATATATATATATATATATATATATATATATATATCATCGTGCTCAGAGACTGGGAGAGCGACACGGACATGAAGAACACACCAGGCTGTGGTCACCTGAAGGACATCGCCTACCAGCTGGTCATGGACAACCCTAACATCCAAGTGAGTTGTCTGCTTTATTTTTGGTTGTCTTGTCTTGAGTCGTATGTCTATGATGATCCCTGCTAAGAGATTAAGCTAGAATGTTTGGCATGTCTGCCTCCTTAGAAGAAAGTGTGGCAGTTGTGTTGTATACGATATTTGAGAGGCAAAAAAAATGAAATACATATAGATTCTCGTATCATTTAAAATGTTTCTTCTATGGCGTCCGGTCGCGCAGTAGTTCTGTTCATGCCGCGGTCATTTTGTTAAATACAGATAACAGTATAAAAGTTTGTTTTTTATAGAGAACTGCGCACAGAACATGTATTTTCAATACACAAAAATACACACACACACACACTTTCGCTCCTTAGTGTAATGTTTTATTGTTGATCACACGATTCTAAAAAATTAGTTGGATATAATAATGTAGAAATGTATATATACATCTTTTCTACATATATACAGTAAAACAAACACAAACAAAAAAAGAACAATTTAACATTGCGCCAACAAAATAATTACGCAAATACAAACCCTTTACACGCCTTATTCCAATACCGTTTATCAGATTTTGTTGAAAGACGTTTTTATTATGCTATATTTTACTTTTGGTTATGTTTTGCTAACGTCTTTTAAAAAATCATGTGCCACTTTTTTTGTGCGCAATTATCCGTTGAACACTTTTCCCTTGAGCACATTTCCGTTGCACATTTTTCTGATCATCCTTTATACACTAAGTATTATCTAGTCGCGATTATTTATATACGAAATATTATTATCTACTACATCATTATATGTATATTGTGTACGACATACCATGTGTTTAATTTAGACAGAAATTTTCAGGTTATTTTAGGTGGCGGCAGACGTAGCTTCATCAACAACACGACCCCTGACCCAGGGACAAACAAAATCAGCTCCAACCAACGTACAGATGGCCTGGATTTGAGGGAGGTAAGACATTTGTTTACAGTGTTGTACAGCGTTTCTTTCTGGCTAATCAACCCCAAGTGCACTTCCACTCATCCTCCACCCACACATCCATTTTTAATTTAAATAAAAAATGTGTACTTTAACTATTTTTGTGTCTTAAACAAAGCGTGCCGTCGTAGTTTCACAAGACAACTTATCAGAGTAGTATGTGTAACACTCGGGCAGATAGCTAAGGACAGACACTCTTCTAGGAGAGACAACTCCAAAATCAAACAACTGCTGCCTTGTAGTTTGTTCTTGGTTGGACAAAGGCTATGGAAGCAAATCCAAAAAGAAAAGCAGGCTGAAATCGGAGTCATCAAAACGGGCTATGTGACGCATAATACGTTGACACGTAAAAACTTAATTGTGTTGGTCTGTAGGATGAAATCCTGTCCAACATTACAATTAAGAGCGAAGAAGAAGAAGAAGAAGTTATGTGAAACAGAAATTCTAATTTTTTTTAAATACATCTGGTACTAGTTTTCCTGCTCAAGAAGTAATATTTATTTGTTTTTCTAACTGTAACAGGGTAAATTACAAATTAAATTGTCTAATTTTTGTTATTGTCTGATGATATCATTGCAGGAGTGGAAGCGTGAGAAGAGGTCACGTGGTGTCGCGCATGCGTATGTTGAAAACAAAGCCCAGTTTGACGCGGTGGATGCGTCTAAAACAAATTACTTGTTCGGTAAGTGCAACTCTCTTTTTCCGTCCGCAAATCTTGTTTTGCCGATAGATCAATAATTTTTTTCATAGAATATTTTTTTAAAGATTTAGCTGAACATTACGCTAGTGTTGAGGTGAGAGAGGAATGAAGAAGTTTTTACTTAACTAACGCTATCGCAGGTTTGTTTACATCCGGTCACATGACCTACGAGCTAGAACGTAACCTGACAGAAGAGCCGTCACTCAGTGAAATGGTGGACAAGGCCATCAGAATTCTTAGGAAAAATCCGAAAGGTTATTTCCTGCTCATTGAAGGTTGGATCTCGCTTGTTACATTATTTTTAAACAGACTGGGTGGGAGGAGGAGGGGGGGGAGTAATATATTTGCAGTACCAGACGTAAGACGGTTCATATCAATTGGGGCTGTAGTTACCCCTGGTCAACTACATCTTCTTCTTCTTAATCCAGGTGAAGTAGAGTTGATCTCATTTATTGACCTCGGTCAGCACTATGTCCAGCAGCCTTTATTTCCCTAACGTAAGTTAGGTACCCATCCAGTGGCGTAGGCAGGGGGGGGTTAGGGGGGGGGGGTCATAACCCCCCCCCCATAGACCCCTCGGTATATATAAAAAGTATGAGGGGGGGGGTGCAAATCGAAAGTTTGAGGGGGGGGTGCAAATCGAAAGTTTGAGGGGGGGTGCAAATCGAAAGTTTGAGGGGGGGGGTGCAAATCGAAAGTTTGTCCCCGGGTAAAAATTGGAACCCCCCCCCCCTTGAGACGATCCTGGCTACGCCACTGTACCCATCAGACCTGGGTGGACTCAGGGACGTTCCAACTGGTCAACTACATCCTCCCAAAATCTGTAGCCGAACATTTATTTTCCCCCAACACTGTTTGTTAGGTAATGTGTTGATGTTGCCGGTACATCCACCCTATGACTGTAAGGTTGTAATGTCAAGTGCAAACTAATTCATGTTTTGCACAATTCTTAAAGCGAAAAATTCGTTTAAATCAGATTGGCTAATTCGCGTGACATCCAAAACAAATTATCAGCTTAAGGTTAGAGTCACGGTTAGAACTTTGCTATTCCTGACCATCTTTACCAATCGCTAGTACTAGCTATACACACACACACACACAAAATACTGTTGTTTGTATTCTAGTAATACGAAAAGCTAATTTCGATTGTTTTAGCGTTTCTCTCTTTCTTTGTCAGGGGGTCGCATAGACCACGCCCACCACGACAACTACGGTAAAAAAGCCCTGGAAGAAACCTACGAGTTTGACAATGCAGGTGGGTCTAGATGAATTGATGATATGGGTTTATGGGTTTACTTTGCGTGTCTGGGTTGTCTCATTGACCAACAAGGATGGAAAAATGTTACAAGAACAGGATAAGTCGGAGCCAGCTCATACACTTAGGATCTTTGTAGTGCTGTCATTGAACACAAAACTCCGAAGTTTCGTATTGTATAATGCCCAGACATGGATCTTGACAGTGACAACCTTACAGGGAGTCCAGACCTCTACAAGATGCTGCCTGAGAAATGTTCTCTCGATAAACACAATACGTATATTTTAAAGACCATCCAACTACTCCAGACTGGAAGACGGAAAGAAGATTTTGATTTTGAGAAAGCCCGCGTTGACCGAGTCACATATTCGTGCAGGCACAAATAAAAAAAACAATTCCATTGGATGATTTCGCATTGGGCCCTAAGTTGAAAAGAGCCAAATGTTGCCCATGTATCAGGCCCCCTCTCTCCACACAGCTGATATCCCCGACAGGACGTTACCTGTACAGCTTGGGATCAGCCGTGTCGCAGGAGCTGCCGAAAAGAAACCTGAGTTGGTATCCTATCTCCTAAGGGCTCCACTCCTCTTTGATTTCGAAGTTTTGTGTCCTAGATGGGTTGCTGTCCCCAGCCTAATCAGCCCGAGATTTCGAACTCAGGACTTCCGGGTTGGCAACCCTGTGCTTACCCGCCCCAGCACTCCGACACCTCAATACAGGCAAGAAATGCGGCCCATACTCCAGCTGAAGGGATGCGAGATTCGATTATTACTTGACTATGAATTACTACTTTGTTCCTTGTCTAACATAATATTATTTTTTTACCCTTTATTTTTTATTTTATTTTTTTGCCATAACAGTAAAAGTCAAATATTTTAAACAAAAAATGATGTTCGTTTTGATGTTATTTGAATATCTTGAAAAGAAATAATTAATTTTATTTAAATATAAAGGATGTGACTTTTACGATGTGAACTTTTATCTGACGTGCTGATTGTTTTTACAGTGAAAAGGGTGGGCCAGATGGTCTCGATCCAGGACACGCTGACCATCGTCACAGCTGACCACTCACATGCATTTGGCATGGTAGGGTACCCATCTAGAGGCAAAAATATTTTAGGTCAGTTGCGCTTTCTGGTCAAACTCGATAACTTTATTTGTGTATTGTCTCCCTTGCTTAGCTGAATGACGAAAAATTAAACGTGTATTGTTTCCTTTGCATAGCTGTATGTCCAAAAATAAAGTAACTTTATAAAATTATCAAAAGGTCGTGACTACTCATAGCCTGAGATTAACTCCAATGTACCAGCTAGCTAGTTTCACTCAGTTATATCCTAAATGTATTTTATTTCAGGTTTTGCTGATGTTCTTAAAGGGGAGGAGCCAAAAGATGACCTCCCTTACCTGACCATGAATTATCTGAACGGCCCAGCTTTCGGCAGAACAGATCTCACTAGCGTGAACACTCGAGGTAAACATTCATTAACGTTCCACCACAGACAATTATAATTAATTTTAATCAATTTTAATTTCTTTAATTTCTCTGTTTGTTGTTTGTTTCTTGGTTGTTTCCTTTTTGCATTATTTTATTTAAGCTTTATCAATTGATTTAAAATACTAACTAAATAATATAAGTTAGAGATTTTTTTTAAATAATGTGGTTATCTCCCCTCAGACAACAACTTCCAACAGCCGGGTTGCGTGCCCATTAAAGTGTCCGCTCACGGTGGGGAAGATGTCGCCATCTACGCACAAGGTAAGTTATAGAACTCTGTCAGACATCTACTCACCCGTACATTAAACCTCCCCCCCCCTTCCCCATATTAATCCATTACCCCTGGACCATAAACCCATCAACTGAGGTTTATATTTTTGTATACAAATGTTAATGGGTGTATATGTCGTGGAGGCGGGTGGGGTAATTGTCCAGGGGGGGGGGGGGTATGTGTAGTTGAGGGGCTAGTTATAAATAAACTTTAAAGATTAAAACTATTTATAAATAGCATTGTTGTAACGGATAGGGATACGGGAATTCGTGGATAAATGTGTATATGCATATAAGAATATAAGGTGGAGGTAGAAATAGTGTTATGACTAAATTTATGTTTAGTTTTATAATTTTAATGTTTTAGACACACAAATTGAATCGGTTTCCATTTAATTACATTCAGATAATTGAAAAGTATCGCGTGATGTATGAGTAACTGGGCTACAACGGTTTTAATTTTAGTCCTGTTACATCTGGTCCCATATCCCATTCTTAATGATTTTTTTCCTTCTCCCCCCAGGGCCCATGTCCCACCTATTCCACACCACCCACGAGCAGAACTACATCGGTCACGTGATGATGTACGCATCCTGTATAGGCGAGTACAAGAGCTCGTGTGACTACAAGAAGAGAGTTCCTTGGGTAGGCTAAACTAGTATTTTTACCCGTCTATAAAGATTAAAACAACGGGTTTAATGTAAAATTATTATTTCATTATAAGTAAAAAAATTACTAACCTTAACTGTTATGATAGTGTTAATTAGTGTTGCTCACGTACTAAACTGATTTTTTAAATTTGTTTACAGGAGACACTAGGACATATTTTTTCCATGCTTAGACAAAGACGGGAAACCAACTGCAACCATTGATAGCATGAACAAAATATTATTTTCATATGTGTACGTTTTGTAAATACAGCTGTATATTCAAATGATGTGGGTTTTTTTTTCATTTATCTGTAATGCTTTTAAATACTGCGATGATGTTATAAATATAAACATAATTACGCCATAAAGAATAATCGACAAGTTATTAAATCCAAATGAAGTAGAATTCATCTGTTTCCTTGGCACAAGGGACCTTTTTTCCAAAACTCTACTGCACCCTAAAACTAACACGGAGCTATGTTATGGCTGGTAAGAGTGTAGCTTGGTTACATGTGCATAGACGAATGTACAGACTTTGGCCTGGATTCGAACTCTCAACCTCTTCTACACTTACATTGCAAAAAAAATCTATCTATATATATAATTCTCCTCTGGGATCAGTTAGAAAACAAGCTGCAAGCGCGCCTTTGCAGTCCCCTCTCTTCCTCTCTATCACTATCACTACCACCCCCACCCCACCCCCACATGATCTGGTGAGCGGTGTTCACTCTGTTTACATTTTACAATCACAGAGACGGCTATTAGGGGCAGATAATTTAGTTTAAAACGATTTTAAACTTAGAGGAGGTAACTAAGAGGAGGCTGCTTTCACGTGGGGGGGGGGGGGGTAGTGTTTTTAAGCAAATATTTTCAATGGCAGCATTGGTACTGTCGAATTCACAAATTATAAATTACTGAAAAGTAGAAAGAAAAAAAACAACTAAATAGCGGCGTATGATACGCAGCGGGTCGGCTCGTATATATATAATTCTCTTCTGGGAGCCGCTAGAAAACAAGCTGTAAAACGCTCCCTACCTCCCCACCCCTACATGGTCTTAGTGAGCTGTGTTCACTCTAAATGTTTACAAGCAGAGCCAACGATTTTAAACGTAGGGGGGAGGGGGGAAGGAATGGGGGGGGGTTATGGTCCTTAACGAGCTACTTATAGTGTTTTAAAGAAATATTTTCAGTGGCAGCGTTGGTACTGTCGAATTCACAAATTATGAATTACTGAAAAGTAGAAAAAACAACAACTAAATAGCGGCGTATGTTATGCCGCGGGCTGCTCGTATATATAAAAAATCCAAATATTCATATTAAGTTTGTTGGAAGCCTATTTACGAAAAAACTTAAACAATCAGTAGCATCTGGAAAAAAATCATTAGCACTTGAAAAATCAGTAGCGTTTACAAAAATCAGTTAGTTTCACTAGCCAAAAATATAATATTTTTGTACAAAACTTAATTTTTAATAACCAATTTCCAAACATCAACCAATCCAATACTACGATTCCTATTACTTTGATCAGTTATTCTAGTTTAGATGTTTTTTCTTGCTAGGAAAATAAAACTCTAATTAAATTCTGAAATAAAGATAAAGACAAAAATTCAGGCGAAATTTCCTGAATTTAATTTAAACGGCAATTAGACGATGGGTGTGAGTAGGAATTTAAATTAGAAAAAAAAACAAATTACCCTAATGCTAGTTTCCATTATATCGCATCCACATTTCTTGTATATACTTTTAGTTGCAAAATAAATCAGGTGGATAACAGTATTAGTCTGTTTGCCTGTTCAACTTGTTCAGTGTGGGTCCTTACACATTGGAAAAATATTATTAGCTCTTTGGCGAGTAAGGTTGCGTTTAGCGAAATACCAAGAAACGTCGTCATGTTGTGGTGGGAAAAAAACCTCTATTAACGGTAACATCCATACAAGGTAGGTTTAAAGCCAATTACAGAGACAGTTGTAAAAGCGACACCATATGTTAGTCTGCTTAAAAAACAAGCAAAACATACTATTCAAATCAATGGCAAGTGGATATCTTTTCAAAGAAAACAAATGATTTTACAATGTGACATAAATATGTTCATCCCACTCTTCGCTTGTGTGTAGATCTATTTTTAAATATACATTAGTTGGCTCGCTAGTTTTGTCTTATTGTCAAAAACAAAGACACTCACAATGTATGATACTAATATAAATTCAATTTTGTCAACTATTTACAGGAGGTCTGTGTGGTCGAACGGTAAAACATGCGCTTATAAACAAAAAAGTCGCTAGTTCGTTTCCCATGGCCGCAGATCGTCCGGAAAACTGAATCATAGAAACAAGAAATTGTTACATAGAAAAAAGGTTTGCGATCGTTTTGCTTGACCAGGTAACGACCAGTGGCGACGTCAGGCCAGAACGGATCTCGAGCGAGCCAAAATCTGAAAAAAATATTTTTCGTGACAACGGGAAGGTATAGGAGCAATGCATCAGGGGAAGTAACTGTGTATGTTTTTGTTATTGTTTTATGGGTTATATCCCTTGCCTTTCTTAAATGACATGTATAGACATAAAAATGCTGGTAATGAGACAAGTCCCGACAAAACTTCAGTTTAAATTAGTCATGTTTGGTGAGCTGGGGATATTTCTGCCACGTTATAGTTGTGCTGTGACATAATATCATGAGCAGATGATATTTCTGTCTGCTCATTAGCAAGAATATCTATCAAGTATCCCCAAACTCTAAGATTATCTGGCAAGTATCACCAAACTAAGATTATCTGGCAAGTATCACCAAACTAAGATTATCTGGCAAGTATAACCAAACTCTAAGATTATCTGGCAAGTATCACCAAACTCTAAAATTATCTGGCAAGTATCACAAAACTCTAAGATTATCTGGCAAGTATCACGAAACTCTAAGATTATCTGGCAAGTATCACCAAACTCTATACAACCAGACACAGCAGCCAGAGGTTGCCCTACATCTGTCCCACAGACAATCACTTCTTAGCCAAAACAAAACATGTAGACGCCGTTGGCAACCATACCCATATTCATATAGTGTTATAGACAGCTTCAACACAAATTATAACTAATGGTAAATCAACTCTAGCGTTAAACCTAACCTTATCATGGACACGTTAAAGGAACGTTTATAATAACAAATACAAATATGTAGGTATGGCAGTAGCGTAGCGAGGGGGGGGGCGGGGGGGGGGACATATGTCCCCGGGCGCCGACCTTAGGGGGGGGCGCCAAATTGAAAGTTTGAGGGGGGGTGCAAATGAAAAGTTCGAGGGGGGGTGCAAATCGAAAGTTTGAGGGGGGGGGGGTGCAAATGAAAAGTTCGAGGGGGGGGGGTGCAAATCGAAAATTTGCTCCCAGGGGGGCGCCAAATTGAAAGTATGTCCCCGGGCGCCGGGAAGGGTCGCTACGCCTCTGAGGTATGGCTAAGTTTTTTCTAAAATAATTAGTTCAAGCTTCAACCTTTTAAAACAAAAGGATGCAGGCTATTGAAAACAAATGTTTTGAATTAATGGTGGCATCTAGACTATATATATATATATATATATATATATATATATATATATATATATATATATATATATATATATATATATATATATATATATACAGTGGCGTAGCAAGGTCGGGTGTCACCCGGTGCGGCACTTAATGTTGTCACCCCCCCCCCCCCCCCCCGAGGCGTAGCGACCCTTCCCGGGGACAAACTTTCAAACGGTCCGCACCCCCGCACCCCCACCGCCCTCGCTACGCCTCTATATATATATATATATATATATATATATTCTGTAGGCCTACATATTTGAAAAAAAAAGAGTATTGGCTATTGATTAGAAAATGTATAACATTAGCATTTGGTGCATGTTTGCAATACTGACCTAACCATCACTGTGTGACGTTGTTTTAGAACGTATTCAAGTTGGTTTCAGATTCCTAATGGTCGTTTAAAAAAACGCCTGAATCGTTTTTAAAAAAAACAAATACCTAATTAAATGGGGAAAAAATTGTTTCAGATTCCTAATTGTCGTTTAAAAACAAAACACGCCTAAATTGTTTAAAAAAAACAAATACCTAATTAAATTGGGAAAAAATTGTTTCAGATTCCTAATGGTCGTTTAAAAAAAAAAACACGCCTAAATTGGTTTTTTTTTTAAAAACAAATACCGAATTAAATTGGGAACAAATCGTTTCAGATTCCTAAATGGTGTAATGTATATGTGAGTGGCTGGAGTCTTTTATTATAATTATTATCTATTTGTAGTAATAAAGCCGAATGCATCGTTTCGTTTCATGTCGTAAACTGTTCATGCTTTTTAGTTATGAAGTCCTGTATAACTGTTTATGTCGCTGTTTACACGGCTAGTCTGTGTATATTTTGTTTATATTGTTGTCAATATTTATATTAAGTGTCTTTTTGTATAATTCTGTCTTATGTTTCGTGGTTTGTGGCGTGTTGTTGGTTATCAGTGAATTAGGGACTGTTTGTTGATGTTGTTGTTTGTTACACCTTGTCGTATTATCTCCTCAAAGCCTGGAGTGTAGTCCGAAATCGGGTGTTTTGTTTTTGTACGTTTTGTTTCGCCTTGTTTTGTTTCTAATTTTTTTATACCATTTCTTAAAAGATTAGTTTCATTTTTGTAAAATAAATTTTATTAAATTGTTAAAGTTTTTTTGTGTTTCTTATCTAGTCTCAGGTTAAGATTTAACCATCGTGGGTTTTACCACGGTCGCACTGACCGGACAGTTTATTTAGATAAGCCTAGGGACAATAGTGTAGTTATTCCCCCACCCCCACCCCCACCCCCACCCCTAGCATGGCTTACATATATATAGATATCAAAATCAGTGGCGTTGCTAGATCGGGTGTCACCCGGTGCTGCACTTCGTAGTGTCACCCCATCCCCCACAAAACAATATATATATATATATATGTGTGTGTGTGTGTGTGTGAGCGTGTGTGAGTACGTCGCGTGCGTATATATATATATATATATATATATATATATATATATATATATATATATATATATATATATATATATATATATATATATATATATATATATATATATATATATATATATATATATATATATATATATATATATATATATATTGGCCTACATGGTGCTACCACCACCCCCTTGTTAAAATTGTCGATTTGTATTTAAAAGACTATTTAACTTTAATTAATTATGAATTGAA